ACTGGAGGAACTCAAACGGCAGACGGCACCTTTGAAGAAGAAATTGGAATCTTACTTAGATTTAATGCCGGTAATTATTTGGGGGAATATTAAATTTTAAAAATTCATTCCCTCCCCAGGGCACCCCAGTACATTTTCATGAATGTACTGGGTCCGTATTTAGGGCGAGAAGCCAGATGGGAACGTCAGTATGTGTGCTCATTGAGTGTACTCTCTGTGTGGCTACTTTGCGCCTGTTTGGTTGTGGTAGAAGATCACTGTGTGTTTCCCTCAAACCGGATTGAGACAATGTAACCTTTCTTTGTTTCCTTTTTCCGGAAAAGAACCCATCTCTTGCTCAAGTGAAAATTGAGGAAGCAAAGAGGGAATTGGTAAGGAGTTCCACTTTTTTCCTTTCAATTTTCTTTCCTAAGAAACAAAATAAATACTGACCTAGCTAATGCCCCCGTCTCCTCAAAGGTAAACACACTTCCAACGTTTCTGTGAATCCCTCCGTGCATTTTTTTGTAAACTTTTTGAGTGTGTATGTGTGGTGGTGGTGGGGTTTCATAAGGACTACTTGTGCTGATTTACGTTTTTTGTTTTTTTTTAAATTTTGTATGAATTTTCTCGGGCAGAAAATGGCTGTTGAAAGTTATAACTTTTTCTAGGCAAAAGGAATTAGCAACTACATTAAAAAATACATAAACAAACCGTTATCTTTGAGTGCATTTTGATTCGTGCTGGCCCTCTGGGACAGAGTGAAGCTGTCCCATAGGGTCTCCGAGACTGCATCTTGACACCAGCCGATTGCCACATCTTTCTCCCGAGAGCGAGCGGCGGGCAGGTTTAAACCTCCGCGCTCTCAGGTAGTAGCTGAGCACGCTAAACACTGCCCCACTGGACTTCTCGGCAGCAGCTGCCTCAATGCTGCACCGTGAACGATGTGTCCACATTATGGAAGGATGAGCTCCTGCAAGCTCCTCAGGAGTCTGCAAGAGGAGACAGGGTTGGCAGGAGTCCACTGGCTTGTGACGTCAAAGGCCCGAAGTGTGAAAAGGGCTGGTCTTGGAGGCGGTGGGGAACCAGGGACGTTTGCTGTGTGGCGGCTGGTTTGTGTTCTTAGCCAGAGCGAAACGTGATCAAAGGTGTGCGAGGGAGCGCTCTAGGAAGATTATTCTTGAAAGGAAATCACAGAAACAAGTTGGCCGCTTTGGGCCAGCTGAGGAGTCCTTCGGACAGTGGCAAGGAGAGTGGAAAAGGGGGCGGGAGGGAGGGCAAGCTCAGAAAGCTCTGTTCCTGTGCCCCACACCCACAGGGGTTTCCCCTCCAGACGCTTATTAGAAAGACTTCCCTGCCTCCCCCCATCGAGTTGTTACTGATTATGAACAGAACACGGTCGAGCTGCCTCTGAGTTTCCAAAAACGATGAGCTCTTCATGGGAGTGGACAGCCCCGTAGTTCTCCCGAGGAGCTGACCCCCTTGGGGGTCGCAGCCTTCAGTGTAACCCACTAGGCCACCAGGGCTCCTGTGGAGACAGCAGTTGGACACCTCTGGT